TGTCTTTGATCAATAATTGAACGCCTCCATTCAAACGCTGCTCCCTAATCATATAGAAAACAAATTTTACCAAAAAGGTTCATCCCCTTCTGTGGCTATATTGGTGTAGATTAAAGAATATTTTTCTCGTTATATTCCAATTTTTTCACTAATTTGCTTATGGGCCGACGAGGTCTCGATATTATGTGAAACATGCTTCGCGAGAATGGCTGCCGTGTTGTCGTTTCATATTCCTGTCATTCCTCTTTCCTTATCAAAAACTTGCTCGAAATAATTATGAAAACAAAATCATTCATTAAACGACAAAATTAACGGTTTCAAATTTATGTGCGGTTGTTTGTTCCTCTTAGAGCAATGGATATTCTTACGTATAGCTATATTCAACGCCATTGCATTCATTCTGAGCAGAGTGAAACGGAGTTGTAGGAAAGGAGCAATTCAATAAATATCGATCGAGATCGGTTTCATCATATTAGCAAATAGGAAGCAGGCGCACAACAAAACTTTTAACTGTCCGATATTGTGTAACGTTCGCACGATAGGAATAGGAATAGGAATTTATTTATCGCAAGTACGTACAACACGTCTTTATAAACAACAGCACATCTGACATCGGTCAGCGGTGTGCGCGCGCTGTAACCGCAACTTACCTTACGTTCAGATGCTTGCATGTATTTTGATCATTTTTTTCACTTCAAAAAGGCATTTATTGAGAAAAATTGCTACCATATATATTGATCAAAACGGGGCCCATCATTTTCTACAACTTTTTTCCATTGTTCAATTTATTGTCTTTGTACTTTCTTGGATCTCCAGTCCGTTCTTTCTTATTGACATCAAGTCAGCCATCAATTGGGATGTGATGGAGCAGCATCATCATCATAAGCTTCGAAAAGTGTTTGATGGACTTCGTGAGCAGATTTCTTTAAATCAAACAGCAAAAGAAATAAATTTGAAAAATGCAATTTTGTGTGTTTTCGATGACTAGCGTCTGTATACACTGATATAACTCAGTAATACTAATTGAAAAACTGTTATTTTAGATGGAGAAAGGTGAAAATGATCGGATTTAACCGTTGTGCATATTGATAGTTTTTTATTTGCGCCAATAAATGTCACTGATCAAAACAAATGCAATCACTTAATTATATGTCATTATTATTGATGCGGAATGGTTAATAAGAAAGAAAGTAGCAGTGCGTACAGACAACAAGTCCATATGAATGTTTGAATGAACTATTCACGAGACATTCTTTTAGAGAAGCGATCACCGACTTGTCATCCACATAACTTGATCTTTTAAGCAATGTATTGAACGAATGGATTGAATTATAGTAATGAGTAAGTAAAGTTAAGGCAAAAAAAGAAAAAAAAAAAAACTTTTAATAATAATCCTAATTATAATCACAAGTCCCGTCAAAGTAAAGAACGATTTATATGGATATAGTTTTCGACTCTATTTTACTCTCAAAAAATTATGCACTTTATACTCTTCTTTTTTGATTTTTACGTACATGCATTAAAAACGAGTATTAAACGACATAAGACTTTATGACGACATCAGTGTGAACTGCGAATACATCACAATATGATGATGTAGAAGGAAAGAAAAAATTAACTAATAAATAAATAAACAAACAAACAAGCAAACAAAAGATACTTATTGTCGGTTTAAGTCGACAAGTGTTTGTCCAAATAAACGGAAACTCTATAATTTCTCACACTTGATTGATTGATATATAATCCATTAAGGGATTAGTTCTTTTTTTATGTTCTTTTTGTATTTTGATGGTTTGCAAGCGTTCCATAAATAAAGTACAAATATAACAGGTGTTTGCATGTATTCTGTTCAGCGACATCTTTTCGGAAAAATGGTAAAGTAATGCGAAGCTATCAATGTACACAACGCTTAAGTTCGATCATTCGCTACATCAGATAAAAATTTTACATTTAGTATTATTAAGTTATTTAGTGTACACGGGCGGTAATCATGGAACGCTTAAAACTACATTTTCGGCAATCATTACTTTTGTTGTTTCATTGCTGCTCCATTATATTCGACGTTGTCCGTTTTGGTCGTAAGGGTTTTAAAGTGATGATTTTGGTTCCGATGACAAAGAACGGCTTGGAAGACTAAAAAAGTTCGAAGATAATGAATTGCAAGACTTACTGGACGAAAACCCAACTCAAACTTTCCATAAACTTTCGAAGAGAGAGAGAGAAAGAGAGAGAGTAGTTGATAAATCAATTGCTTCCAGATGTCGACATGCGACGGGAAAGACCCAAAAGTAGGGAAAACGACTATCATCCAAAAAAGCGGGTCTACTACAGCAATCCCAATTGCAAAAAGTCATGGGTTAGTTCAACACAGCGAAATATTCATGGCCGTAAAGTTTGGTTGCACATATGGCGGGATCAGTAAAGTGTAGTGTAATACGGGTCGCTAAGTTCGAAGGAAACTGTCACTGCAGATGTCTACAGACATCAGTTGAATAAATTGCACGATGTATCTTTGCAAAAAAGGCCAGCAATAGCAGTTAACAGACAACAACTTATCCGCTTGCATGTGCAAAGCTCAGCTACGCATTGCAAGAGTTGCCAAGGATAAAATTTTGCTGTTCGTGTAAGAAAAGGAAGTCTGCCGCATCTACCATACTCACCACCAGACATAGCGCCTTTAAATTACTAGTTGTTGAGAACGACGCAGCATGGCTTGGTTGGCACGCAATTTCGAAATGCTAAAGCAGTGCGAAAATAGGTCGCTGATTGGATCGCTGCCAAAACTATATCGTTCTCTCGATGAAAATGATGGGAAATGTTTTCATTAATATATATTTTCCTCAAAAAGAAATAAAATGAAAAATTGATCAAAATACGTGCAAACCTCTAATACTTCTCTTAGGATCGAGCAAATATGTATTGCGCCTATACCTAATATTATGGCTCTCTTTCATTTTAGTCTTTAAACAAAAACTATCGGTTTAGTTCAACCTTTTTCGATCTATATGGTTTAGATTCTATAGATATTGATTTTCGCACAAACTATGCATGTACGTGTTGGAATTGCCGTACTAGTTAAGCATCCTAACAGACATGCTGTCGATTAAACAAAAAAATGTACAAAAAAATTGTAAATTTTTACCAATAAACGCTCTTTCGCTTATTTAAAATACTTAGCGATGTGCAAAAACTATTTCCACTGCTTGCTGGTATTGATGGGGCGTGTGTGTAAATGCCAGTATTACATATTAGACCAGCATTCAGGGCCAAAAAAAGATGTGGTTTAAAGCAGAAAATATCAAAGTCCTGAAATAATTCCTGATGATAGTTGATATCTGAAGCAGCAAAGAAAAGCTCGGTATTGTAAAGATATCAAAAAACCAAGGGGTTCACTATTTCGTATTGACTTTTGCGCATAAGAAAGCCGTTTTCCAAATAAACATCGCGTTTGCTTTCAACGAAACAATTGCATTGTGTCGCACGTCCATGGCTAACCACAATGAGAAAATTGCTGAAGACATGACGTATTGAGGAATACGAGAAAAGTCGGGAAAGGAAATTTACTCATAGATTATGGAAAGTCAGACGACGAGAAAAGCGACCGCCTTGAGAGCCAAGGGAGAAAAATTTCTGCGAAATATATTTTAAATGATATAAGATTTGATGCATTTACCAATCGATTCAGAATCACTTTCTAAATGAAAATTAAATGATTTTAAATCGATCTAAGTTTGTCTGTCCGTCTTGGTGTCTTTTTTTTGTAACTTGGCTGCAATTATTGAGATATTTTAATGAAATTTGACACACTGGCATGTTTTCGTCGATGGACGATCGCTGTTCACCCTTCGGCTAAGACGAGTCAGGTTGTATCAAATTCCATTAAAATATGACAAAAATTGCTTAGATTGTGGATTAAACACAAGCGACCAAGATGAACAGACGCCCTTAGATCGAAGCAGAATCATTATATTTTCGTTTTCATTTTCGCTCAAAACATGATTTTGAAACGATGGTGTTTGAAAAAATTCTGATCACTTTTCCAGGCATGAAAAAGGCATTTATTGTGGAAAACTGGTACAATATATATTAATCAATAATAAAGCGTGATGTGTGAAGTGAACGAAAAAGTGGTTCGATCCGAGCCATTTTGAATACCTTAACATGTCAGTGTATCAAATTTCATCAGAATATCTGCAAATTAACCACAAGAAAACAAGACGGACACACGGACGGACAAACTTAAATCGTTTCTGAAAGTAATTCGGAATAATAAACGGTGGATCTATTTCAAGTTCTCCTAGGTGTTGCATATATCCGCACGAACTTGATATACCCTTATACCACCCACTGTGTAGGATATAAAAATCGCAAAAGTCATTTTTGTGTGTTTACAGAAAAAAAAAAACGCAAGTAACTCTGCCTAGAGCGATTGAATATATTGACATGAAATTCCACATACGTTAAAGATAGTACTACCAACTCACAAAAAAAAAAAAAATAATAATATAATTTCATAGTACCCGCGACGTTTAAATAAAAAATTCTCGTTATTCGTTGATCACAGTAGCGATGTATATATATATATATATATAGTTTATAAATGAAATAAAATAAATAAATTTCTGATTTCACGAAACTAGATTGCAAGTTTCCCGAGTCAGAAAAAAAGTACTTTTTTTATTTTCTTTTTTTTAATTTGAAAAGTACAAAGTAATAATCTTATATATATCATCCCTGTGTTAAAAGCACATTCAACTTGTACAAGTCAGCGTTTCTATAACGTTGCATTACTGCCTCAAATAATGTAAATGTATATACATGCATATAAATGTTATGTGCGTTTGTGTGTGTGTGTGCGCTCGCTTGCTTGTTTGCTTGCTTGCTTGCTTGCTTGCTGGCTGTGTCTATGTGTGTGTACATTAAATGTAGGTCTGTGCTCATTGGTGTATGTAGTCACACTAGACATGAAAACACAGAACAAGTTACTGCTGCCAACTGTTTTTAGTTTAAACTTTACATTTGGTATGATTGGATCGGATTGAGTGTTCGGTCGGACGTAAACTTGTCCCTTTTTTCGTTTTTTTTTTGTTTGCATACGCGCAAACATGCTACGTGTAGTATTAAGTTGACGTGCATTTGTTTCGTTCTTTTTTTTTTTTTCGTTCTCTTCTCTAAGTGTTTTTAAAAATAAATATAAAAACATCACTTATGCAAATTTCTTTCGGTTATTTTAAAACAGAGATATAATAATAATAATAATAACAATAATAATAAAAATAATATGTATTGTTGTGTATGAAACTGCATACAGACGTGAATAAATATATATCATAAAAGGCATCGTTTTTAAAAATATATGTCGGATTGTTCTAAACGTGTGTCAAATGTTTAAGGTGCAAAAATAAATATTAAAAATAGAATTATTTCTTCTTGCTATTGTTCTTATGCTTATTTTTGAAGCAAAAAAAAAAAGGCAAAAAAAAAAAATAAAAAAGAATATATATATATATATATATATATATATATATATATAAAAACGAAGAAATAAAAAAAACATTATAATTGCTCTTGGTGTTTGGCGTTGCTGCTGCTTCTGCTTCCTCAGCATTTGTGAAATTTTATTTCTCTTACAATCGCGTGTAAACTTAAAACAGAAAAAATATTACATTTTGTTCGCAATACTGTTAAAATTGATGCAAACAGTTGCTCATTTTGTCGTTGTTGTTGTATGTTGCTTTGTTTTTCTTCTAGATTTTTTGTTTATTTATAATAAACCATATTTTTATAACATATGTATGGGTTTAATGATTCGTATTGTTGTTGCTGTTAAATTTTTTTTTTTTTTTTTTTTTTTTTTTTTTTTTTTTTTTTTTTTTTTTAATACTTGTTTAACCAAGCAAACCATAATGTCGTCAGTTAGTCAATTCATTTACTTTAGCACACTCTTTTTATACTTTTTCTTCCTTAACCCGATTTTCTTGCAGCGGCTTAGTCAGTTAGTCAGTCAGTTATGTTGAGTTGTTGCAGTTGTTCGTCCAAGCGCAACACATTGCCGTTGCTGCTGTGATGCCGTCCAAAACTGCATTTTCATTGTCTGTTTTCATTGGCGCTGTTGCTCTTTTTATGGAATCTCTGCTACAATTAGAAATGTTTTTTATTGTTTTCTTGTTTTTTTTTTTTTCCTTTTTTTTGCAAGCTTAAATATCAAATATACTTACTCTCTTTGTATATTTTTTCATTTCCAAATATGTTAGTGTGTTCACAGAAACTTTTTCTATTACCATCCAAAAGTAGCGCACACCGCAATGACTACAACAAAATTATATTAATTTTATTCATTTACTTTATATTTCAACATAATTATTTTTTTATTTTTATTTTTTCAAATATTACAATTTACTTATCTATATATATTATATATATACATATATTTATGGAATTATTGCTGTTGTGGTTATTGTTGCAGTCGTTGATACGGTTGCTGCTTTGCAATTATTTCATGACTTCATTCCCACAACTTCGCACATACGTGCCTGCCTATTATACATATTCAGTTGCATATACGTAGTGTGTTCACGTACAGTAATTTCCTCTCCAACTGTCATGCAACTGCAGTGTTCTCATTTTTCACTGTTGTTATTAAAAAGTTAAAAGTGCAACAACAGACGTAAAGTGTTAAAGAGAAATTGCAAACTGTGACATATGGAGTGGGAGAATAAAACAAAAAACAAAAAACAAAAAAAAAAGTAAATAAATAAAAAAATAAAAACAGGTAGTAAAGCTATTGTATGTTCAACTTGTGGCGACTCTTGGTTATCTATCTATGCAGTTTGTTTGCTTAAAGATGCGGCACTTCAGTGGGCTGATTGAGAACGTTTTTTACTGCAGACTATTTAAATGGCTCTGATAAATATTGAGGTCAAAATTAAATCAATATCACCTGTAAGACTGGAAAATACTCGCTTTTCTCCACATATATATTTTATAGCTTCCAAGTTTTCTCAAACTTGCTAGCATCCCACAGGCAAAACCGTCTAAATTTGTGCACTTGATAAAAATCAAGCCAGAAACGAGAAGAAAGAAGATTCCAATAAAATAATTGTCCTATTGTAGCCGATATTTGAAATTTGAATGTTCATTGTGTCCGTTGCTATGAACACTTTTCTTAACCAAACTTATCATAATTCGTTGCATCGCGTTATGACATATTAAAGAATTAAGCATCATCTTAAGCGGGTAAAGACAAACACTATTGAAAAATTCTTCAAATTTCGCGACTTTTCGAAAAGACTTCCTGACTCTAATCTAATTGCTTTTATATGTTGATTTCTATATCCTTGGAATGAACTGATGTTCGTTTCAAAATATTTCCAAAGAAAAACATCTTAGTCTGGCTTCGTCGAGACTATTGCTGAATCAATGTGAAGCTGAAAGTGACCGATTCGTTTGTGATGAAAATTTATTCTAATTATGAATTCGACTTTATTTATGCTGTTTGTTCTCCTATTATTTCGCAAGCGCGATTCTCTCTTCGAAAGATGCAGAAAAAGGAAATGCTTTCGAGGAAAGAGAACGAACGCGAATATCTATCTCAATATGTATGAGAAATTTTATGGTTCCGGAAAGTTTGGCCAATTGCACTGTATTTCCAGCCTACATAGCCCTTTGAGCTGAAGATGTTTCGTGGAGATGTCTCCGGTGTAGCATCCCTTTTTTTTTTAGTATTTTCCAAAAATGAATTTTGTTTTAATTTTTAATAAAAACTACCCAGTAAAAAGATATCATCAATATCAAGTTTTTTTTTACTTTAGACATCGGCTCATGCCGTTTTCATTGCAAAACAAACCCCATATAAATGAGCCCTTCCGGACGTTTGCAAAAATTCAATCCTGCAAGAAGAATTTCTCCCATTTTTTCACATAAATCTCATGAATAATCTTGGGGAATAGAGTCCATTAGAGTTAATGGCTTTTTGGATTTAGACAACGGTCCAACATAACCTCAAAGTAAAGAAAGCAATAGGAAAATTTGCTGCATTTTGTTAAAACCATCATCTAAAGAGAAATCATTTAATTCGTGCCGCGAAAAGTCAATAAAAATCTGTCTCTCTAGTGTTCTGCAATGGCAATGTCATCTTCAGTCCATAAACCATAACCAACACTTATTTCTTGGACACGTGAAATTCCTTTAGGAACCTCAGGAACCTCAGATGAGTTTTCTTTACACCAAAGGGGCAAATACTTCGATATTGCAAAATGGATGACCCTATATATACTTACTAATCTTCTTGAGTATCAAACTATTGCCAGAGAAAAGGGCAGCGGGAGGGAGGGAGGGGGGGGGGATATAAATGGAGTTTCCCCCCTAAGGTATAATTCGAGTCGCTCAGAAGATTACGAGAGATTCAGAGGCTATCTAAAGAGAAATTTTTCGAAGGATGCAGCCATGTTTTTCTTTAAGCTCAATGAACTGCCCCAAGATTCTCGCGTTTGTGAAGAATGTATAAATTTTATTATTATATTCGACATTGTTAATTATTATTATTATTTTTTCTTTATTATCAGTTCAAAGTTGATTTTTTTCTTGTTTTGTTTTTTGAAAGTACTTTTCTTGACTGCCAGAATATTGTAGTAACATTTTGTTGTTGTTTAGATCTCAAGGTTTTTTTTTATGTTTTTAATTTTATCAAAATTGATTTAAAAGAAAAAAATGTCAAACTTTTTGTTTAGAGTGAACGCGAGCAATGCAAGTAGATGGCGCGATAATAATCCTCTAAGCGAATTTTTTCTTTTATGTTGATTTGAGTCACATGGAGCAATACGTTAAGAGGAGCAGTGAAATTTGAATTTTTCTTTCACTCTTAAAAGGATATATGTGGAAAGTAGTGTGGGCTGTAAGCGGTTATCGTCTTACAAAGAAAAATGTAGTTTCTTGCGACTGGAAGGGTAAAGATAATTCTATTTATTTATTTATTTATTTATTTTTTTTTTTTTTTGTTATAACATTTTATTACATTTAACTAAGAGGAGGAACTTTCTCGTGTCATGTAAATTCATTTCATCGGCGTACACTTACGGAGTTCATATCTTTGCCAATGTATTGCGTTTGCTAAAATAAAATGTAGCTTACTTTTGCACGTTTCCTTGAAAAACTACACTCAGAAGGTTTTTACACGCCAAGAATTGCAAAAATGGTTTAGACTTTCAGGTTTTAATGCAGATTTTTTTTACTTATTGAACTTAAAAAAATTATACTCGGGTATTCCGGCAATCAATTGGGTTGTGGGGAACAGCTTAATATATATATATATATATATGCATATATATGAATATAATGTGAGTAAAGTACGTATGAGAAATTTGCAAACATTCAAATATTAGCTATCGGTTGATGGTAAGTCAATAATGATGAAAATATTTCAAGATTTATTCAGAATTGATCAGTTAAAATGAATGTGTAAAGTTGTACATATATTTTTAACAGCTGTTTTGATGGTTGATTCAAGGAAGCCAAGCAGTTGAGTTTATAAATTTAATTTCCAAAGCCAATCAATGATATATATATATATATATATATCTGTATACATATATATTGTGTAAGACCATTAGAAACGAAAAGACAAAATTCAATTATGTTTTGACTTTTTTGCAAACATCCAGCCGCAACACTCTACTTAGTCAGTCAGTCGCGGCAGCAAGAACGAAGGAAGAAATAAATTGCAAACAGTTGACAAGTGTTTTCATCGTAGGCGACGAATATTTGCGATTGTCCTTAGGCGAGTACAATTTTATTACGGTTTTTTTTGTTTTCATTGTCAAAGTATAGAAGTATAATAATTTTTCTAGTTAGAATGATTTAGCCATTGCCTGATAGAAAAGGAAAAGGACGGTGAGTTGGTTTGATCGCAACTCGATATTTCGCTGAAAAATTCTCCAAACAAATTATAAAAAAACATATATATATGTAAGCTTGTTAGAGGGATCTACCTTTGTTATTGCTTCTAATTCGATTTAATAGAGAATCGTATACTACTAAAAAATAAAAAGGTTCTTTGACCACAGATTCCACAGATCGAATTTGGGAAGAAGCTTCAATTCGTTTAAAGAATACGTGAACACTACCATATGTTGCTAAAAGGCAATGGGTAGCGGTGATTATGCCATGTATAACACTATGTCATATATAACTTTCTTATTAATTATGATAATTGTTTGACCCTTGACACACACAGTAGGACCTATTATACCGATAGATTTACAATCACTTTCTCAATTTGTCCGTTTGTGAGCCCTGTTCAGCCTATAGGACGCAGTTTTGGCGATATATTTTGATACAATTTGATAAACGGACTTATCTTGGCCGAAGGACGAACGCTATTGAAAATGCTTGAGAT